TTTTTTGGCCGTCTCCCCCCCCCCCTTGAACCTCATCAATGGAGTCTAGAATGATCATTACTCGTATCATGACCAAAGTATCAGCTCAACGCGCCTCTCTCTCCATGTTTCGATACGAGCAATACATGCATTGCCTCTTACATTCTCATGGTCTACTCGTATCGGTACACGCTACGGCTGATACTGATACTCTTCCCGTCCCGTGAAATCATACATTATACTCATCCGCCACCCGCATCATGGTGAACATCCAATCCCGATGCTGAATACCCCAAGTTTAACCGTGCGGTCAGCTCGTAGATCGTCACATGCTGACGCGCCCAACTCCCGTATTCCGTGTACTCGTACTCGTGCATACTCTGCCCCGGCTGCCTCCTCTGGCGGATACACGCCGAACAGCCGGACCGTGCCTCCGCTCTCTCGACGCACTGCAGCGTGACTCGTGCGGCGTACCGGCCTTTGTCGGCCTTGTCAATGACTCGGCCCGTCCTGCCTTACTCTCTACTCTGAACCACACTACCACTCGTACCGGGTACCAGCAATGATACCTACTACGATTATACTGTTGGGGGGTAGTACTGATTAGTGTCCATACTATGACGGGTGAAGAAACTCCTGCCCGCTGCGTCCCGTCTGCCCCATACGGAGAGTATCGTGTGTGTATGATGTGTGTATGTATACCGACTGCTTCGACTGGTTCCCGTCAGTTTGAACAGCACCGTCACACCATGTTTCAGATCGCAGCTGCTCGGAATGCATCATATTCGTCATCATCGTGGTATGTAAGTCTCGGGACTATTATCCTCATAAGTCGTGATTTTTGTGTTCTTCTCCTCGTCTGTCTGTTTTCCGTCGTCTTCCCGTTACTTTACTCTCCACAAACCACCTGCTTGTCCCTTGTCGGGGGAGTTGGAAAGAAGGGAAAGAAGGAGAAGCAAATATCCACCTGGTAGCAAAAGAATCTCAAGAGGTAAAGGGCCTTCCGGAGAGTCTGGAAAAAAAAATTTCAAACCCAATAAAAAGAAGCGCCGATTAAGCCTCCAGCTGAGTAGACCTCCCTTAGCAAGGAACCTCTCAGCAGGGAACCTCTTAGCAGACAGTCTCGATATGAGGAAATTCGTAAATAATTCGCAAAGGCAAAGAGCAGCCAACCAAGCTAAGAGAATAGAAGAATATTCATATAAAAAAAATTCCGTCGTTGTGGAGAGAAGAAGAAGAAGAGAGAAGAAAAATGTCGACGGGTCTAGATTCGTAACATGTCGTGATAATTCGTAGTCGTTGATCGTTATGGTATGCTTGCTTCGTCTTTTTTTTTTTGATGTGTGTGTGTGTGTGTGTGTGTGTTTCGGCGTTTCCTCCCCCCGTTTCGTCTCGTTTCGTTTCCCCGTCTTCGTAGTCGTGATGCAAGTTTTTTGTTTGTTTTTTTTGTGTGTTTTTTGTTTTTTGTTTTTTTTTGCCGTCTCTCTTGTGACCCTTTTGTCGTCAAGGTGTTCGTCGTTGGTTATCACTCCTCAAACCCCGACTGCAGCACATTGGCCACCCCAGTCGTGGAAGCTGACAGGATGGAGAACCCCGGTGTGCGCACTATTGACACCTTCCACTCTAGTCATCGTTGCTGTGAAGCCCTTTTTTTCAAAAACAAAATAAAAAAAAGAAAGAAAAAACAACCACTCTGTGACGTATGATGTGGCTGTTTCTTTCCCCTCCCCCCCACCCATCCACCCGCGCTGTTCACGACACTCTCTTCCTTCCGATATAACGCCGGGGTCGTATATGCGGCGGTTGGGGGAGACTCGATCTTGAAAGTCCCCTAGTCAAAAGACGCCGTGGAGCTGCTGCTGGAGTGATGACCAGACCGAGGGCTGTGGCGGTGGTCGCTGCTGCTCCGCGACGAGTGGCGGCTCTTCTGGTGGCGCCGCTGCTTGGTCTCGGTGGCCGGCATTCCCTGGACGATGCCGTTGCGGGCCAGCATCCCGCCGTTGATGGAGAAGTTGCGGCACACCATGAAGGCACGCATGGCCGCGTTCTCCTGGGCAAGCGTGTCCGACTCATAGGCAAGGTCCGTCTGGTACTCCCGCCCGTTGACCAGGACGAGGCACGTGAATCCGCTCGGGTCGCGGTAGCACTCGTACGCCGGGTCGGTCCACCCGCGGCGACGGCAAAGGCCTGTTTTGTCGGGAACGGTCAGCCGCGCCTGTCCTCTCTCCCCCCCAAACACGGGGCGTCCGGACATAGGCTGGTCGGGACATCACCGATGAATGCCACAGGGGACGGTCGGTAACCCGACCCTGCCAAAACTCTGCCAATGGCCAGCCAGACTCGTCAGGTGGCTCGGTAGTGGTGGGCCGCAAACCTTCCCGAGCGACTCGACCCCGCCACTTACACAGTCTACCGGCCGGCATGACAACCGCCAAGGGGAGGGATAGGATTTCTGTGATTGTTGGGTTGAACTCACTCTCTAGGTATTGCATGTAGAAGCCGCCCATTGTGCCGGCACAGATCAATGGACCGTCGGGTCGACGATGGTGACGATAAACGATGCGGTTGGCCAATAACGAGAGAGGATAGCAGCCAGTAAGACGAGAGAGATTGTTTGGCGGGTTGTTGGCAGAACAGGTGCCCCCTTCAAGTGTTCGGGAATCCCCGTTGGGAGGTCCGATTGACAGGGATGGATGAGGGGGAGGGGAGAATATATATGTGAGGATCTGGTTGGGGGGCGAGATCTTCGAAAAGAAATGAGGAAGAAGAAGCAGTCGAGAGAAGAGAGGGGGGGGGGGAGATGGTAGGAAAGGCGAGGTTTAAAGACGTGCGAGCGAGAGAGGGAGGGGGATGGCAGGAAAGAATAACAAGAGAGGAATAAATGGATAATAATAATAATATAATAATAATAAGAGGAAGGGGAAGGGAAAAAAAAAAAAAAAGTCTTGCGGCGAAGATGGGTGTGGGCTCGGATATGAGAGGGAGGCGTGGCGGTAGATCGAAGCTACAGACTTGCAGATGTTATGCCATCAACGGCGAGGGTGCGGGACCAGGGTTGCATGTGTGTGCAATTAAAAACGGTTTGTACGGGACGAAGCCGAGGGAGAGAGGCGGAGAGAGACAGAGACGGCCCGGGGGAGAGGGAATTTTTTTTTTTTTTCAAATTTCCTCTTTTTTTTTTCAAAAAAAAAAGGAGGGAAAAAAGACACCAGAAGAATTGTGAGCGAGTGTACGAATAAGCAAATGCGGCTCTCATGAGAGGGCGAGGCCGCAATGGCGAGGATAAGACAACGGAGTATGATCAGGATGAGGACGACCCGAGAGAGGAAGTTGGAGGGTGGCCCGTCCTTGATGTGTTGGCCTACCTGACTACCAGTTGATGAAAGCCGCCTGGGCGGGGACTAGGCCACCTCCACCGAGACCAGACGACACGCGACGAGGCCACCTCTGCTCTCCGTACCTTGAAATTGGTTTGGAATTGTTGGCTGGAGAGGCGGAACCCTGAAGCCAAGGTGGTCTTCCGAGAGACCGTCGTACCAATTGTGGGACGGTGTTTCTCTACAGAACCGTCCTCGTCTTGTCTCGTCCTCGTCTGGCCGTCACTGCCTTCTCGGTCGATGACGAGAGGAAGGGAGAGACGCCGGAGAAGTGGTCGGCGGACAAGCTTACAAGGTCTCGATATAATAGGTCGGCACCTGTGGATAATCTACCGACAGATACACAGTCAGAGAGGACTGGTTATTCTGTAGAGAAGGACGCCGGCGGTAACCTGCCAGTGGGTACGCAGACGAATGGTCACGTTGTCCATCAAGTCCTCGACGCAACAAGAACCCGCGTGCGTACTCTGTGCGTATGTATGTATATATATGTGTGCGTCTGATTGAGTGAGTGTGCGTGGGTGCGTGTGACGCGTGGGTGAGAGTCAAATGTGTGAGTGAGTGAGTGTGTGTGTGTGTGTGTGAGTCGTGTGTGTGAGTGCGTGAGAGAGAGTGTGCGTGTGCGTATGCTGTCTCCTACCTCTCATACGAGTGCATGCACACGCATACGCACACACGCACGAATGGGTCGGGGTGGTGGCGAAATAACGCCGGGATAGAACGAGGCCAAGAAGACGGCGGTTTGGCCATGGCCTGCAAGACGTTCCCCTCCCTCGCCCCTTGGGCCAAAGAACGGGGGCCGCCTAGTGGGACAGAGGGCGTCCGAGATCTTTGCTCTGGCGACCCTAATGTACGGCCGGGGTCGGGGAGATGGCAGTGGGTGGGGGAGGAGAGAGAGGTGGGTAACGGTTTTTCTGGGATGCGAGTGAGTTACTCGTACTCGCGCCTACTATCACTGCGAGCCTTTGTAATCTGTACCTGTACCATGTGCGAGTGCGTCGTAGGGACGCCGTCGTACCTTGTGATGATAATAATAGCACCAAGAGGAAGAGAGGAGCAATCATCGGATGTGCACGTCACCTTCTTGGTCTGTGAGTGCTACGTGCTAGGTATGTAGCACTCGTGCAGGGAATAATATGTATGCGCCGGTGGGCACGAGAGCCAGGAGAGAAGGATATAGGGGGGGGAAGTGACAGGTAGGCGGCAGCAGCAGAGGAAAATGGCATGCGAGGACGAGGCCGACAATGAGCGGTACCGTCACGTACGTATGAGACGAGTACGACGTATCAGAGGCTGCCGGTGATTGATTGCGATGGGTCCTCAGGACGATGAGCTGCAGGACCACGGCCAAGGCCCGCCCGCAACGCTGGGGCAGAGACATGCCCAGTGATACCGGTGGCAGCGGTACGTCTGTAGCGGTACGGCGCAAGGCTTGCTGCTGGGTAGGCGTGAGCTCGCTTGCGCATCGGAGAGAGGCTGTCTGGCTGTCCGGACCCTCGCCTCATGGCAGGTTGCAGAGCAAGCGGAGCTGTGGCGGAGAGCTGCTACCGTACGAGCAGTGGTAGCGTCGGTAGCCTCGATGCTCTGCAACAATGGACAAGCAAGATGAAGCTGCTAGTACGAGCCGTGGTGGTTAGTACGAGTGCCTAGCAGCAGCAGCAGCAGCAGCAGCAGCAGCAGTATTCTCCACTCGGACGGGGTGGCACGACGGGACCTGGAAAGGGGGGGGGGGGGGGGGGAAGAGGGGCATGCAGAGAAGGTCTGGGGGAGGAGTGGCATGCTCGTGAAAGTGCGAGATGTACGATGCGTACAGGACTGGCAGGAATAGGCAGGAATATCAGCAGTAACCGTGACGACGGTAAGGTGATACTCGTAGACTTGCGGGTACGTAGCAATTCTGCAATCAATATCAATACATGATAATCCGTACCTGCTATCTACTACTCTGTACTGCAGATTATTGCTGGTAGAGAGTACGGAGTAGTCGTCCACAGGCTGCCCATGACCGGGTACATGACGATGGTGGAGCAAATGACGAGTGCTACTCCGCCCGTACTCGTACAGGTAGAGATGGACGTCGGGCCCAGGAGAGAGAAGGAAGGAAAGAAGAGAGGTACGGGTACGGGTACGGAGTACTACGATGCTGGATGCTGAATGCTGAGTGGCCTGCTGGAGTGGCGCCCCTAAAGCTAAGGTAGAGCTGCTGCGTTATTAGCGTCCTGAGTCGCAGAGAGGGGGGGAGAGGGGGGGGGGGGGGGGGGGGGGGCATCAATTGTCCAATGTGCATCCTGCAAAATGCCAATGGGTCGCTGGCTGCCAAATGGTCGGTGAGACTGGACCGGGGTGTGTGTGCTGCTGCAGAGAGGGTGCATGAACACATTTTACTCTCTGAGGGAGCGACTCGTCTGTACTCTCCGTACTCTTCTGTACGGAGCAGGAGGTAGGAAAACGGCCCACAAAGAGTGAGACAGATGCGAGTAGATAGTAATGGTGAGAACTGAGGTAGAGAGAGGGAGAGAGGGGGGGAGAGAGGGTGAGAGAGGGTGAGAGAAGGTGGGAGGGAAGACAAGGCATACTACGTGTACGGGTGAACGAACCTAGTATTACAGATCAACTTATATATCTTACTGACCCTCTGTAAAAAAAAAAAAAGGCAAGAGCGAGAGACGAAAGACAATGGGAAGGTGCGTCCTGAAAATGCACGCACCTGCCTGTACATATGAGTACGGAGTAAATAAAATACCTGTGCAGGTGGGCAGTAAACGGCCGTAAAAGGCAGAAAGCAGGGCAGTCATTGATTGACAATTACACATGATGGATGCTTTGCCGATTCAGAAGAGAATGATGAGGTGGCACCATGTGGCTGGGAAGATCTGGGCCGTAACCGCTCTTCTCTTCTCTTCTTTTTTCTTCCCCTTCTATTCTTCCCTTTCGATTTTTTCTATCTGTTTTCTTTTGCTGGCTGCACATTCAGAGTATACACACGTACGCACGTACACACACACACGGAAGAAGATGCACGCACGCATCACCGACGACTGACTGGTCCATGCTCTTCCGAGTCCCGTCTGTATGGTAGTTTACGGTGAATGTCGTACAATTGATTGGGCAGATCGTCCCACCCATGGCGTCTTTCTTAATTTTATCTCTTCTCCCATCTTCTTTTTCTTCTTCTCGATTTGCTCTGGCACCCTGTCGCATATAGACGAGTGCCGGTAATTTACTCGTACGAGAGACGGACGGCACGCACAGTACATGACATGCAACTCTCTCTCCGGGTGAGATATGCCCGGTCGGGTCGAGAGGCGGGGAGGGGAAGAGCTGCTCTGTAATCTGTACGGGTACGACTCCGCGAGCAGCATGGGGGGGGGGCATTGGTGTGAGAGAGAGGGAGAGAGAGAGAGAGGAGGAAGCAACAGCATCGCCGCAGCTTGTATAGGATACTTGACGGTTTACCAGCCAACCCAGTCGTCAGAACGGAGCTTCACAGGTATCTAGTACTAGTCCTCCAGTCCCTGCGTAGCTTCGCCTCGGCCTTTATGCAGTGATGCGTTGGCAGAAACTGACTTGACCTCCCGCATCCACCGAATAGAAGATGCCAGAAATAAGAAAGCGTCTTCTTCTTCTCCTTTGTTGCTATTCGAACAGGCGAGCTAGATCGTTTGCAAGACCCATAACCATGCGACCACGTCTGCTAGCTTGATCAGCAAATTTCCCAGTCCGTCTCGGTGCATCGTCTCGATCGATGGACACCCTTCTTCTCCTTCTTTCCTGTACTCTCAGCCCTCGCTCGCCAGGGTCGTACTCGTGCATTGTAGTATTATAGATGCTGATAATGCTCGTCATTTATTACATCCCGACCGACTCTTGCCATGTACTGCATGCTCGTACTCGGCATTGTCATGTATACTCTGTGTATCCCGTGTACATATCAACACACGATGCATGTTATTACCTGCCACCCCTTCAACACATTGGCGAATCCTCACCTACCATCACCAACTCGACGACCACGCCCCCTTCTCTCTCCCCCTCCTCCTCCTCCCACCCCAACACTCGCCATCACGACGGCTCCTGAGAAACAGGGACGGTCGGGGGGATACACGACAGGAAGCCTTGCGTGAGGCGAGGCTCTTGGTAGTACCGTATGCACACATCATGGCAGTGTGACTGAGACGGCCAAATACTTCCCTCATGTTTACCGCCCATATCCGGCGTATCTGTCTCCCTTGTCCCTCGGCCGAGCCCAGCCATCAATCATCATGTCCACAGCCGTGGCAGACTCCGAAATGACCGACCGACCGGCCTACTAGTAATACTACCTTAGTAGCAGTAGTAGCAGTAGCAGTAGTAATAGTAGTAATAGTAGTAATAGTAGTAATAGTAGTAATAGTAGTGATTGTAGTAATAGTAGTAACAGTAGCATTTATACAAGTACAAGTACGAGTATCATCTAGTAATACTCTTAGACTGCAGTCTCGTACGTCGCGACTACTATAGACGAGGCCAAAAAAAAAAAAAAACCCACACCACCACCACAATCAACCACCGCCGCCATCAAGGTCTGACAGCCTGTGCGGTACCATATGGTCGGTGCCATCCAGGTGGGTTCGATATCACCTCTTCTTCCCTCGACATACCTCCTGTCTACGTCACGGGGTCTCCGATGATTGACATGCACGCCTCACATCCGGCCCGCCTGTAACTCATTCTCCACCCCGTACTACAGGATACTCTATCCCATATCGTCGCCGAGGGTGGTAGGCCTTGCATACGTGTACATCCTAGGGTTCCGCCTTGCATTTCGTTATGTCAATTCCCTTCCCTCCTCCTTCTCCGCCCGACTGTTATCATGTCCATTGTCTACTCGTGCGTACATTCTGCCATGTCTCCTCCCTGTACGACGTTTCCTGATTCTAGAACATGACAGGTCCGACCTCCTCACGCGCGCGCCTATGAGGTTTCTGTGCCATGGAGGAGATGAGACTACAGAGATGATGATTGAAAGTGGAAATCCATCACCGCCCTTGCCTGTACCCATACAGCACAGCATGTCCATCCATCCTCCAGAGGTCTACAGCTGCTTCGGCGGTTCGCAGAGGTCCAAGCGCACATAGTTTACACGAAAAGTTTCCGTGCAACTTCATCAGGGGTCACCCATGTATATCGCGTCGGCCCGCGCACTCTCTCGCTAGATGTACAGATATGACTGGGCAGCTGTTAACCCCTCCCCTCCCACGTCTGCATACCAAACGTATGCATTATATTCGTAACTTTTTTCCTCCTTCCTTCCTCTTGTCTTGGGAATCGTAAGCGCTGCAGGGGGAGGAGAGCAGGCGATACGCCCATGAAATTGACTGGCTCCTCTCTCTCTCTCTGTCTCTCTCTCTCTGTCTCTCTCTCTCTGTCTCTCTCTCTCTGTCTCTCTCTCTCTGTCTCTCTCTCTCTGTCTCTCTCTCTCTCTCTCTGGAGACAATGTATGTGTGTGTGTGTGTGTGTGTGTGCACTGCAGGTAGCAATTGATTTGAAAACAAAAAATACTGCACAGTAGGCAGTAACGAGATAGAAACAAACAATGGACCGATCATCAACTGCAGAGACAGATGATACTCCGTAATACTCAAAAACGATAGCCGGCGAAACAAAATAGTGGCGCGCGCGAGTAATGATGAAATTTGGCGTACATGCGCTGCCAGTTCACCTGCATGAGGTCGCATCTCCGGCGACCCCAGAGAGAGAGAGAGAGAGAGAGAGAGAGAGGAGGAGGGCGGTATCGCTGCACGTCTTTTTTTTTTTTTTTTTTTTGCCATTTAAAATCAGATTACTATTACTGTAGACTTTGATTTTTTCCATACATGGCATAATAATACTCTCTTGATATTATCACGTACTACGGTACTTTCACCGGGTAATAATCGTAATAAATAAAATATTTTCACATAGTAATAATACCTTTTATTACTACACATGGTACACAAAATACTACAGAGTAATCAATACTATAATACTACTACTACTCCTCATCCGTAATTTCCAGACCTGAGCGAAACTGTCCTTGGATTGGTAGCAAACACCACTCCGTACTCGTAGAAGTAGTTTGGATCACGACTGGCAGGTCAACATACCCAGTCTTATTATCCCATTTTTTTTTAGAGTCACCACCCATCATGCCACCCTCCCCGCTCTTTGTTTACCTTTCTTTGTTGTTGTTTTTTTGGGGTAAAATTTTTGCAAATCGATACGAGTACATCAAACGAAAAGCCGGGGGGAGAGGGGCGACGGGGACCTTTCACACGCGCCTGTCTCTCTTTGTCTCCTCCCCTCCCCCTACACGTAACCCCGGGATAACGACGACGCCGACAATTTCTACCAATGTCTCAGATCTACCTATAAAGTACATGTAGAGGAGAGAAAGAGGGGGGGGGGGGTGCGACGATAACAACAACGATAAAAACGTGGGAAAACGTGACATCGGCGAACCGGTTCGCGCCGAGGAATACGAGGAGGGGGAGGGATGGGGGAGAAGGGGGGTCTCTACCCGTTTGCTACTCTCAATCATACCATGGGTGTCGAATCATCACGTGCTGGATCATCGTTGAATTTATACCCTTCTTACTGCAGGTAAAATGTATCGATGCCCTCTCCTCGCCATATATGTACTGATAGAACCACCCCGATCACCAGTATCGTCATGACCGTCGTCCCCGGTGGCAAACTTGACCTGAAGGTTCCGCCTTGCCTTCACGTCTTGCAAGTCCTACTGCCGTATGGCTTCCCCCTCATGTATGCTGACGACAACGAGTTATGCCCCACACGCGGCCCGCAGTCCATATCACTATGTTGCAACGTCGCGCGAAGGAACAGAGAGAGAGAGAGAGATGATGTATAGAGAGAGGGGGAGAGAGTCTTCCCCGTTATATGCTTGTCCTTTTTTTGACCAAGCAGAGGAGGTTGATTTCCTTCGTATTTTTCACCAATAATATCTCACTCCTTGTGTTTGTATTCATTCGTGAGGAATAAAAGTCACCTTAGATTGATTACTATTGGCTTAAAGCATGTCTACATGCATGTAATACTAGGTACTATTCACACGCAGACCGACCTCCCCTTTTCTCATTATTTACCGGTACAGGTCGCTTAGACACGTATCGTGAAGATGTTTACATAAAGGTAGGAAGACAAGACTGTCCTGATTTCCATGAGATGAGTGTAGCAGAGAGAAGAAGAGAACAGGTGGAGGGAGTATGACTGACAGTCCCAAGTATGCCAGAGAGAGATGGGGAAAGGAGAAGGAGAAGCAGGAGACGAGGAAAGATGGCGTGAAGAAAAAAGAAGAGGAAGAAAGCATAGCGGGAGAAGGCTCAGAACCCAACTTTAGAGGTAAAATACCCCATCATCTCCACAACTTTATGCTGAGGAATAGCATACACGGGATGCGTCGTGAGGACGCGGTCCTCCTCGTCGAAGAGACGCGGTCCCTTCAGGTACGGCGTCGCGACCCATTCGTCCGACCCCAACCCGGCCAGTTCCTCCGGCCTGGCCTTGGCCAGCATCCACTTGTGCTGGACGGAGCTCAGACCAGAGAGGACGTAGCATGTGTGGTATGCGTCCGAATATCTGCATGTTTCGGTCAGATAGATAAACCCATCGTGCCCTGAAACGTGCGTTTGCGTCCTGTAATGATAGGAGGCAGGGGAGGCAGGCAGGCAGAGCGGGAGGGGATAGGGGAGGACAGAAGAATGTATGGGAAAGGAAGAAGGAGAGGGAAGTGACGGGTTCGGGAAGAAGAAAGGAGGAAATGGAGGAAAGAGGAGAAGAGTTGGGTGAGCGACGCTTACTTGCTAGGTTTGTCCCTCATACCACCACGTTTCGACATGTCCTGGCAGCAGCACAGTATGTACCGCGTCAGACCCTCCCGGCTGTAGAGGCTTTTCTCCTTGGCCGCAGCCTCAGCGACCTCTGATCCCGACCCAACCGGCCCGCTCAGGCACGCCTCGATCAGAGGCCAGCAGCCGCCTACCCAGTGGCTATAGCATCCGTCCACCAGCTTGTTAGTGCGGCCGGAGAAGCCACCCTCGGGGGCGTATTGGCGAGACGAGAGCCATGAAATCAGTCGACCTACATCGACATGTCTGTTTTTTTGGTGGGGAGGGGGTGTTTCCCCCCCCCTCCCCCACTCATGTCAGCCTTTTTTTGTCTGTGTGTGTGTGTGTGTGTGTATGTTCTTCCCTCAATTCTCTCTTCCCTGTGAATGATACATCCACCTCCCATGCATACCATGTCACGTCTTCTTTATCCTAGCACGCACCCACATGTAACCCTCTCCCTCTCTGTGTCCGTCCTCCTTTCTCATGCGAGTATCGGGGAAGAGGGGACTACATACCGTGGAATGCTGCGGTGCGGAGAGTCGATTATGGATAAGCAACCCAAGGCGCAAAATGCATATGCACCGTGGGCCTCGACGCCTGGCTTGGCCGACACACCTCCTTCGTACGTTTGAGCTAGATGAGAAGGAGGTGTGTGAGCTTTTTTGGTCCTTTGTTCGTTTGGTTCCACACTGCCATGTTCCTCTTTTGTATTTTGCCCGCTTTCTCTCTCTCCCACTCGCTTCCTCCTTCTTGATGGAGTCGAGGATGGTGGGGGGAGGGGGGGTGGTGTGAATCTTGATTTCTCCCTCCTCAGTTCTCTGTAGAACCAACAAGAGGAAAGCAGGAGGGAAAGGCAGTGATGCGGTATGATGAGGGGGGCGACAGAAAGGAAAGCCAAGAGGATGGTGGACTAACCTTTACCGATCCATTCAGCCAGACCACTAAACAAGTCTCTGTGTCCCGCAGCATATGCAGGTGAGTCTGTCGGCAGGTCGAGCGGGATGTTGAGGAGCGAGATGATGACGGAAGCGCAGTATGCACCCCTACAGCGTGTGGGTTAGAATCCATGCATCTTCTTCCTTCTCCTAACACGGGACAATACCCCTCCCTCCCTCTTCGTTTCTCTCTCATGCGATTCGGAGAGGAAAAGGGGGCGGGGAAGGGCGTGCGTGTACGTTGTGCCTCTGGGCCGGGAATGACACACAACATACCTCACATCCTCTTCGCCTCCTATAGCCATCTGGAAGCCTCCGTCGGCCTGCTTTATGCTCCCGAGCCATCTCCACATGGCCCTGCGGTCGACGAGTTCGTAGGCGGCGTCCCCGCCGACGAGAGCGAGCGACAGGACGGTAGCGTACGTGGTGGCGAGGTGGCTCGTCTGGCCGAACCCGCCGGCGAACCCGCCGGCCTCGTTCTGCATGGGCCTGACCGTGTCCATCAGCCTCTGGCGGTAGGGGCCGACGTCCTCGCCTAAGAGGCTGAGCCCGGCCAGGCACCAGTAGAATATCCAGGGCCGGCTAGAATCGGCCGACTTGTACGCCCCGGGCAGCCGGCCCAGCTGCTTGTGGAGGAACTTGACGTGGCGAGCCCGGTCGAGGTGGGGGAGGCCGAAGTCGTTGCGGGCGCCCAGGTCCTCCTGGCCGTTGAGGAAGGGGAGACACTCGTCTACCGTCTCCTCCTGTAGCGTGGATGTCTCGGTGCGCATCAGGCTGTCGGCCAGGATGGGCCGGGATAGGAAGAGGTCCGGGACAAACATGTCGTTGACGTCTGTCATGCTGTCAATGTTCACGTCGTTGCTGTCGCTTGCTGTTGCTGCTGTGGTTGTTTGGGTATAATGAGCGATGGACTGGTTCTTCCTGGCTTCTGCCGTGGGCGTTCGTCGTTGAAATATGACTCTTGACCGTGGTGTTTGCTTGGACCGCGCTCCTCCTCTCATCACGTCGAGTCGTATATAGAATCCCCGCCAGGGTCCAGTCCTCTCTCTCTGTCTTTTCTTTCTTTCTCCCTTTCACTCACTCTCCACTCTCACGCATGCCCTCTCTCTTTGTCTCTGCTTATAGATGGAGTATAAAAAAAAAAGGGAAAAAATCTACAAAAAATTCATCAAACCTCAACCCCGCCCTTTAGGCCATGACGTGCCTCGATATCGTTCTCAGACGTATTTAATCTCCTTCCTTTTTTTTCGGTGGCGTCGAACAAGAAGAAGGTGGTAAAAAATGGCACGAGCGTTTCGCGCGACAATGGTAAGCTTGACGCTACCAACATCTATTGTTCCTTCGTCATTCCTCCTGGTGACTGTCGTCGTCGGCCTTTCCTCGGGAAAGGGCGGGGGTAGGGGGAAAAAAAAAGGAGAGAGAAATTGGGGGGGCTAAAGGGGATGGGCGCGAGGCTGAGTTTGCAAAATTTAGTCAAGTTGGACCAGTCCCTTGATTATAAATACGACGATATTCTCATAAACAGCCTTCCATTGCTTTGATCAAAAATGATCATCAACTTAGTAAAATCCGAGTACGAGCCATGCGTAGGACGGGTCTGGTCATCGGCACTGGATGAGTCCCTGGCCCATATTCAATGTATATAGAGGATAGCACTTTCCATATGATATCAGTAGCCACATGTCCAATATCTGTTTTGCCCTATTATATCGTATTCCCCCCCCGGGTTTTGTGTTCTTTCTAGGGTAATCTGCACATCGGCGGGAGTGTCCGTCGAACCCCCCCTCTCCCCCCGATCTTGGCAGATTGCGACGTTGATACGACGTACCCGGTAGTTGGGATTTCCGGTGCGCTGGAGTATGATGGTGCCATGATCAACGCCTGATAGTTCCCAGACGAAGCTGGATTGGCTCTCTATATATATGAAGCCTGCTGTGCATTGCCATCCGTGGAGTGAAGATTGGATGTCATATGTATATATAAGTAAAAGGAGCCTTGACATCCCACGTAGCTGGATGCATGTAATGTTGGTCAACTCGTCCTTCACCATATTATTACCACTACATATAGTACTATACGCATGTGGAACATCTCATGAAGAACAAAATATAGTATTATGGAGGACACCATGAATGATTACCTAAAATGAAATGTAATACTGTTTTACTACGCCGCACCAATTTGTTCGGAACCCAGATAATTATATTGATTCTTGCACAAAAGCAAATCAATACGCTCGGAGAAGAGAAGCCTCATGAAACAACACTGCACGGCTTGTACAAAATAAGCCGCCTCTCTGTGTCCGACGGTGTTTCAACAGCCCTGTCAGATGACCTTGGGACTCAGTTTGAACCCCACGATCTACAATCAACCAGGCACACCATTATCGATCGATCCCCTTTTCCTTCTGCTTGGTCTCTTCTCCCATTGATTTTCTCCGACTAGGATTCATAAAATAAAATAAAAGACAGATCAGCGCGTGATCTTTTGGGGTTCCCTACACCTGCCCCTGTGAAAGCGATGGGGGGAAGACATGGATATGAATGGTCAATTCCTGTTTAACCAGTCATTGAAGGCAAGGCTGACACCCACGACCTCATCCCCACAGGCAAAAGGTAAATCAACGACTACATGCATGTATCGTAGACGCGAGGCGGAAATAATAGAGAAAGAAAGACAGACACGAAAAAAAGGCATTGCAGCATCGCCGATTGTCTTCTGTATGTCCTTCCCTGCCCTTTCTATGTCTTTCAGTATTATACGAGGGCGTTTGAGAGAGAGAGAGAGAGAGAGATAATGTTTCAGTTTCTCTTTTTTTTCTGCGATCTCCCTTGAGAGATGTTCACCGCATGTTGGGGGGATGGAGAAGCGGATCTAGATTTATGGAAGGCGGTGGGCACTTTCTATCTCTCTCTCTCTCTCTCTCTCTCTCTCACTCTCTTCTCCCCACTCTTGATATTTTCCGTTCCCTGCTTGCTTTCATCTCTGATACACGCCATGATTGCCGGGGTCTACATTGTGAACCGTGGTCCGTGACTGCTGAAAAACTCGTACGTATAGTAGTATTAGTAGGTATTGTGGTGAGACGGGGTTTTCCCTTTCTCCCCCCCCCTCCCCCCCTCTCGCCACGTTTAATATGTACGTCGTGATGGATTGGGCCAGTCAAAAGACGTTGATTCTTTACCAACCTCTCTTTTATGCTTTCTTTTTTTTTCTTGCCTGCCCGGCACGCGCATGAGGAGAGTGAATGCTTGGTCATTACAGAACCTCTCGAGGAGGAAAATGCCCACGACGCAAAGCCTAGGATACAAGTAATAGAAGGGAGCAGAGCTAAGAGAAAAAGTCTGCGTAGGTGAGACAAGATTGATGCAAGTCAAGAGGCGCCCCGTGCGCAAAGTTGCCTCTCATATGCCGCGCGCGCGAGAGAGAGAGAGAGGGGGAGAGAGAGAGAGATAACGACACTCAGGTTCCCACTCGCTCAGGACTGGCATCTCACTTGGGCAGTGAATGAGGAGTGCCGCGCGCGAATCAACGAGAGCTGAAACTGAGGCGACACGAAAATTTTGACTCTCCAGATCAGATGGAAAGGGGGAATGGGGCGGGAGGCCGAGCAAATGGCAGGACTGAGAATTGTGATGGACGTCATGCTTTGGGGAAGAAGATGCAGTTTTCGTTCCGCCTCCTCCGCCATGGTCCGCGGGGATTGACAAGGGCGAGAATTGGACATGACGCACACATCGCGTGACGAGGGGACAGACCCTTTTGGAGAGAGTGATGCCCAACATTTCACTGCATGTACGGAGTAATATTGCCTACCTTACTCCTCTTGATCGAGCAAGGCCTCGTGGCCGGACCGGACGAGCTGCGTGACGCCCAACATCTGCGGATCAGATGTCGAGCTGGAGGGGCAATCAATCTTTGAAGATGTCCTCTACCTTGATACCTCCCCGGTGGTCAACCGGGGAAAAAAAAGCAACGGATGAAGATGCATGTAATAATGATAACAAGAATAAAACATCAAGGACCTGAAGAGAGAACGATAGAGAGGGAGAGGGGGAGAGATGTGGCGTCGGAACAGACGACGCTCACTCGACAGAAAAGAAAAGAAAAGAAAAGAAAAAGGTACCATCAGAGAATCAATACCTATCTCTTGGCAATCCTGCTAGGCAAAATGCATGTATGCGTTTGTTGTGCAGCGGGTAGCAGCGTATCGCCCATGCAGGCAAGCATGCAATATTATTACAAGCCAGACCAGAGAAGAAGGCAGGGGTTTCGTCCCCTACCCCCGCTCTCTCTCTCTCTCTCTCTCCCTCTCTCTCTCGTGTCTGCCAGTATGTGTGTGCTGGCAGCACAAAGAGGATTGGAGTGGCGACCAATGTAAATGTGCGTTTTCTCTTGCCGCTGCAGATGCACGAGCGGGCGTGTTGCATGAAAAAAATGCATTTATGGATGGTGGGGGAAGGGGGGGGGGGGGGGGGGAGAGGGGACACTGACGTGGCCATGCTTGATCAATTTCAATATGTATTATCAGGTCCCTTTGGCTCTTGATCATCAACGGGTTGGGCCCCAAACGTCAGGTTGGAATCTGGCATGCGGGAAAAAAAAAAGAGCTGTACGGGAAATGACCTGCCTGAGCACCTCGTTGAGAGTATCGTATCAATTGGTATTCGCCTGCTGCATCGTACGAGATGAGGAGCGGGAGGGGCGCTTCAATGCGGGGGGACATGAGTGTGAGATGAGTAGGGCACTTGAGAGGGAGATGTTACATGACCGATTTTATTGGTGACATTCTGACACTGTATATTCGTGCTGGCATTATTACCCTTTGGATACTTGTGCACATGACTGGATTGTGATTAGCAGCAGAAGCAGAAGCAGCAGCAGCTCGTATGGCAGTTGAGAGTTAGTGGTGGCGGTGTTCATCACCAATTGGCGACGGCCAAGGTAATAGGCGACGGCGACCTGCAGGCGAGCCTAGAGACACTGACCGTGCCACCTTGGATACTGGCCATGAGTGAGAGTGAGGTTACTATCCCGGTCACCGGTGGTAACCATTGACTTTCCTTTTCGTTTCCCATCGCTGGCTGCTGGTCCATGGTGAGGGGGAGGGGGGGGGGGGTATTATTAGATCAGTAATAACAGATCATACATGCGGGTAGCCCGTGATACCTTGAAACCCCCCCCAAATTATATCAACTGGCAGTTGCATCCAAGCTCTGCTGGCTTTTGGTCATTGCATCTGAATTTCCGCGGCGCGTCGTGCTTGCTCTTCTCCCCCTTGGAGGCTCAACAGGTCGGCAGGTCGAGGTCGATAGGATACGACTCAGTGGATCATCAGGGTGCTGCTCTAGATGATGTCATCCATGTATTGCTTGGCGAGATTATCTGTATACGGCTGGTTGGGCAGGCTCTGGCCTCCTCCATCTATCCGTTCTCGTCCCCGTACAATTTTTTATTTTTATTTTTTACAACTACAGCAGTATCACTGCCAAGCCAAATGCCATCCATTGATTGATCACTACTCAATGCTTCCTATGTATCTCTGCTGCTTCATTCTCCGCACCGCAATGGCAAGCCGTACTCGCAAGCTGTCAATAGCTACACGTATGAGCAGAGACAGTTGACGCTCCTCTATACGAGTATTATGGTCCCGAGGACCCCCTTACCCCTCTCTTTCTTCCCCACCGGAGCATCTCGCCCAGCGACCCATGAGTCGACAAGTGCCTGCCCCTTTTCTGAAGGAGCCTGTAGCTTGTCTCTTGCAGCTCTCTCTACGCGTAGGTATCAAGTTGCCAAGTATTATTAACACATACACGGAGCAGCCCAGAAAGTAATATTATTGCAAAAAAATAAATAAATCCAGTAGTAGTAGTAGTAGTAGTAGTTGTACGTACTACACTCCGTACGTACTATTACTATCATTATCACAGCGTACAAGCTATACGATCCAAAAAAAACGGCCCTTTAACACTATGTACTGTGGTCTTAAAGTACGTTACGAGTAATTATTGACCGAGAAATCTGACACAAAGGGGGCGAGATGGGTGGACGGATCATGAATATAGTAGCACTATTTTTTTCTTCTTTTTTTTTTCGCCATGTGACGGTTGACATATGTCGTAATCATTCCTTTGCTGTGCGATGTAATCACAGCGGTAATGATGGCTGAGTAATTCCTTCCATGTTTGGTATTACTACCTTGATCTTTTCTTCTTCTTCTTCTTCTTCTTCTCTTCTTATTTCTTTACCCGCAAAGATTGTCGGTTCTTCCGAATAACAAGATTTTGTTACGATCATAGTCGTACGGATAGTGTCGGTGTTGAAAAAGAGCACAAAAGATCTACATCTACCCGTATAATTCTCGTCTTCGTGTACCTATATGTGGTAGTATTTGTTGGCTAAGCTAAGAACAGGCTTGATAGGCGACAGGCGATAGACGACAGGCCAGACAGCCAAGGAGAGCGTCCCTCCTGAAGGGTGGAGGTTGGGGAATGGCACCAATGTGTGGGTCACCAGCTGCTTAGTATACGAGTGTGTATCCCATATTAATCCCATATTAATATATACTAGTCCTTCTAGTAATACTTGAGATAGTACTTGCATAGACCACAGGTACGAGTATCAGTACCGGTAGCCCGAGGTAGGTACCGACGACTATAGAGTTGCGAGATTCCGTACCTGCTGCTACGGCTCCGTCTGGCTCGTAACAGGTAGAGTACGTCCCGTCCTACATGTAATATTGTACTCTGGCAAGTCGATAACAGCTCTTGCCGTGTAGAGCACTCGTACGAGAAAGAATACGAGTAAAGATACTTCCTTTTTTCCAGGGCCCGAAACTGCTGCGCTTTTAGATTACATATGCCGACCTCTTTCTTTTATCGAGTGGTCAGTTCTTGGACATGACTGAGACAGAGAACCGCTCCGCGACATGGGGCCACATGGACGTCAGCCAGCATTTCAAGGGGTGATCACATCTGTTATCTGTACTCGCGTTTGCCGTAATCCTGTCTGCACTCTCGTATAGCGCATCGTAAAGGAGGCGAGAAGAAAGAGGGGACAGAGAGAGAGAGAGAGAGGTGCAGACTCCTGACGAGGATGCGTACAGCTTTCGTGGCGGTCCCGTTGCGTATACACCAATATCATACATTGGAGCCGTGCGGATCGACCCCATCTAGTCGTCGTAGCTGTCGTCGTAGTCGCTCTCGCCGCAGTTCACAACCCTTTGATCAGCACCTAATACCTGGTAAAAGGACAGGAAGGAAAGACGCCAACAAACTCCCATCTCCATAAGAGACCCGCCGGGACCAAGTGGCTACAAAGACGCACCGGCGAGAATCCCTATTGGCGCCGTGGCAGAGGGGGGGGGGGGGGGGGGGGGGTCATCACCGGGGACACTAGGTAAACACTGCGAGCGCAGTGTAATACCTTGGATCCATCAGGTAGATACTACGAGGCCTACTGGACAAGGTCGTGGGAGGCAAAAAAAAAAAAAAAGAGAGAAAGACAGGATAAAAAGCCCACATAGAGCAGACGCACGTCGTACGGATAGTCGATCCGTAGGTGGCTTAGTGGGGTAGACCGTGTTCACGCCGAGGCGAGGGTCTCACAGCCCCCCCCCCAAAAGGCCCTAAAAATTAGCCTGAACAGGATGAGACCATGGTGATGTAGCTTCTGGCCTTGGTAGCCTCGGCGGCCGATGGGAATAGAGTAATACTTGTGCTATGTGCTCTCTGCTGACTGGTCGTTGACGTTGACATAGCTTGACATAGCTTACCAGGTAGCACGATATTAGGCATAGTAGTGCTAGTAATACTCGTAGAGAGGTAATAACCATGGAGGAACAATTACTTGCTGAAGCTTTTCCCACTAGAACTGAGTACTAGCTCCGACCACTAGCGACGGGTAGTGACATTAGTACTCTTCTTTTTTTGACTCCTTTCTACGACGTAAGCTGGTGGTAGGCACATGTAGCGCTACTCGAGTAAATACTATCACTCGTAGTAGCCTGGTAGCAGCAGCCTGGTTAGTAGCAGCCTGGTAGTAGTAGCCTGAGCGGTAGTAGCAGTAACAGTAGCAGCAGAGCAGAAATAGTAGTAGTAGTAGTAGTAGTAGTATCTGTAGTATTTCCCCCAGATGCCAATTGTCTTGACCTGCTACGGATGACAGATGCCCACATGAGCATATTACCAAGGACCGTCACGATGCACTGTAACCTCCATCACCAGAACATGGCAGCCTGGTGGGGTGACTCTCGCTATAATACGCCATGGGAGGTGTGTTGTAGATGGCGACCGGTTTTCGCCGTCATAGGCTGTGATGGTCGAACGGGTGCAGGCTTGTGGTACGCATCTGGTCCAGACTCCACTCTGCGCGGCCCCCCTCCCCTCAGTAAGCCCCTCAGTGAGAGTGTGTGTCCGAGTCCTCTCTCAGCGAGCGAATGTCTGTGTGTGTCCAGCATCCAGTGCGTCTCAAGGGACTTGAGTATGTGAGCACTTGGCTGTGCGTCCCTTCCCTCTCCCCTCCCTCTCGTCTCACCCGCACTGTACTTGCAGGGTCGAAAAAAAATGGAGGCCAGACTAACGCTCACAAGTGGGAGTCCACCATCCTGCAGCCTTGGGCTCACCTGATTGGCTCCGCGTTCTGGTTGGGGCTGGATGCACCTCCCTCACCGCTTGTTCTCACGACTCCTCTTATGCCCCATGGGCTTGCAAGGGCCCTTTCTAACATCTACCCCCCAGTCGGACCAACATCTTCCTCCGCCTCCCCCGGCCTCTGTTTCTTTTCTCTTTTTTCGTTCCCTATACCTGTACTTCCCGCTACAGGGAGCTCAAAGGAAAAAGGCGGTGTCTTTCTCATCGTCTCATACAACACGACAACTTATTATTATTTTTCAATTTTTTTTTTCGCAGCCATTTACTTTTTAGGAGACTTTTCCCCTTCTCCTGCCCAGCATGACCCTCGACTTTAATGTTAGCGCCGGGGGGGATGTCTATCTGAACTTCGCCTATGAACAACAGCAGCATCACCATCACCAGAATCAACGAAACCCGAACCCGAATCAGCAGCAGCAGCAGCAGCAGCTGGCCCAACGTCACCACCATCCTTATAACCTCTACCAGCAATTCGCCTACCTGACCACGGGTACCAACGCCGCTTCCATTACCCCTCCGCATCCTTCCACCATGACCAACACCCAAAGTTGGTCCGTGGGTGTCGACATGGACAGCATGTCCGCCTCTCAGACGGCCACCGGCTCGCCGGTTCACCAGGCTCAGTCGCATTCGCCCCTGTCGCACTCGTCGAGCCCGCACAGCCATCCCTCGCCACTCCAGCAGTCACCTTTCCCTCCCGCCGCCCCCACGGCGAGTCCCCTGACCGACTGGGCTCTCCAGCAGCAGCAGCTTCAGCAGCATGCCGCCATGATGGCCCAGCAGCAGCAGCAGCAACGGCAGCAGGGTCATGATCAGCACCAGCATCAGCACCAGCATCAGCACCAGCAGCAGATGTCGCCGACCGACATGGGCCATCTGATCCAAGACCCGCTCATGAGCTTCAACACCTTTTCCAACCTGGCCCCGGGTTCCCTCGACTACTTCCCGCCCACCACCGGTGCTCAGAGTGCCATGCAGGCAAACCTGCTCGACTCCGCCTTCACCATGCCCGGCCTCGACGAGACGACCCACGCCATGCACTGGGGGGGCACCGGCATGGACAACTGGCACGACTTCCAGAGCACCCTCCAGATGGAAGGCCTGTCCCGCATGGGCAGTGTGGGCAGCAGCTCGCCCACCAACACCTTCGTCGAGATCCTCTCCCTCCCCTCCTCCTCCGGTGAGAGTTGGACCATGGTGGAATGGAATCGGCCCAGCTTTGAGCAGTTTCAGCCTGCCCAGGGTGCCGCCATCTTCAACCCTTCGCAGACTCTGCACCTGAGGACCAACTCGGGCTCGTCCGACGGCGCCAACTCGCTGGATATCGGAAGCTTCGAGGATATGCCGTTGTTCGCCTTCTCCCCGGAGTCGGATAGCAACGGTGCCGCCGACAACAGCAGCCACCGCAACTGCTACACGGCCGACGGTCAGCACCACCACGCCCACGACCACGCCCATGACCACCACGCCCTTGACCACCACGCCCTTGACCACCACGCCCACGGCAGCGTCAGCCCCACGACCGACGCCGTCGCTCCCAGGCCCATCAAGTCGGAGCCCGGCTCGGCGCGCCACAGCCCCGGAAGCGGTGCCGGCTCTTCCTCCCCCCCCGCAAACGCGGCACCTCGGAGGAACTCGGGCGCCCCCCGCAGGAGCCCCATCAGCAAGGCTGCCCCCAAGTCTGTCGTCCGCCGCTCCTCAAACGGCAAGAAGGATGGCACCGTCGAGAAGAAGGTCGGTCGGAGAAAGGGCCCTCTTCTGCCCGAGCAGCGCAAGCAGGCCAGCGAGATCAGGAAGCTGCGTGCTTGCCTCCGCTGCAAGTTCCTCAAGAAGACGTGTGATAAGGGCGAGCCCTGTGGAGGATGCCAGCCTTCGCACGCCCGCCTGTGGCAGGTTCCCTGCACGCGCATCGATATCAAGGACATCGGCTACTTCATGAAGGACTGGAAGGCCGACCACGACAAGCACCTGACGCCCGGCGTCTCCATCAGCAACATCAAAGGCTTCTCCCAGAAGGAGACCCTCATGTGGATCACGCACGGCTACGGCTTCGTCCTGCCCGTCATGGTCCGCCAGGTCTACGTGGCTGACGAGGAATGCTTCAACGTCGACTGGGTCGAGTCGTACCTGACCCACCAGGAGCCCATCGACTTCGAGACGCGCACCGAGAAGCTCAGCGTCGGCGTCGACGGCATCAACCTGGCTGCGCTCGAGGAGTACCTCGACAACCACATCGAGGGTCCCTTCGAGGACTTCATCGACGAGCACTTTGAGGGCACGCCCTTCATCACCGAGATCCTCAAGACGGCCCACCGCTTCTACATGAAGCAGCGCATGCTCGTCATCAAGAAGGCCCTCAAGCTGGTCCTGGCCTACAACCTGACCATGCACATCACCATGGTCGAGAACCAGGGCTCCGAGGTCGAAATGGATGGACACATTGACGACGAGGAGTCCAAGTACTATGGCCGCACTGTCGCCCCAGTCATGATCAACTTCCAGATCAAGTGCGCCCTGGCCGACATGTGGCGCGAGCTGCAGAAGGACATCCTCGAGGAGCTCTCGTCCCTATACTCTGGCGTCTACAGCGGCGAGAAGATGAAGAACTGGCCCACCATCTTCATGCTGGCCTCGATCCTGCTGGCCGTGTGGGAGGAGATGCAGTTTGACTCGCACTACCGCACCCCGGATCCCGTCGCCGTCGACAAGTTCTGCAATGACATGGAGACGACGCCCGTCGGTGTCATCGTCGGTCTCTTCCATGCCATCTCGCAGAAGCTGCCGGCCTTTACCGACTGGGACACGCGCAAGCACGGTCACCTGCTGCACGACAACGAGGCGGTGTGCGACGCCATGACGGAAGTGAGGCAACATGTTCTCAAGCATGGTATGTTTTCTATCATCTCTCTCTCTCCCTCCTTTTTTTCTTCTCTGATTTACATGAAACTAACCGATCTCAGAAACTTACCTCCGTAACCGCAAAGAAGCTGCGTTTGACCGTTACGACTTTGACTCATTGTCCAACAAGTTTGTGTCCAAGCTCGTCATCCGCGCCAACTAGGTCTGATCTACACCAGATCTTTTCTACTTGTCTCTCTCCTTTCTTCGCTTCTTTGCGCTTGTATTTCTCCATGTTTGAAGGGTTGACCCATTGTTGGTCTCTGCGGACCAGAAAAAGCAGAGAGGATGGGGGTTCTTCTAGCTATAAACCCCCTCCAACCCCATATCATTTTTGCATTTCTTTTGTCACAGCGATGTCGATTTTCTGTTTCTTCTTTTTTTTAAAAACTCCTTACAAACAACCTTCTTTTATGAGGAAAGCAAGACGGCATTCCGAGAATTATTTCTTCTCTTATCTACTACGGCCTCAACGAGGAAAGAGACAAGAAGGGAGGTCACGTCACAAAATGATTCTATAACGAAATCACCCACGTTTTTCACGGACCACCATGCCATTTTTTTTTTCTATCATTACGACTCTTTTTTCGACGAATGTATGATTTCAACAAGAGAGAAATTCATTCATGTTTATTTCATGTTGCCACGACAAAGCTGTCATTTCTTATCATGAGGGAAAAAAAACTTATGCCGATGATTTTTTTTTTTTGCTATTGATCATGATGCCTAAATTTGTTCTCTTCTTTACCACTACGTCAAACTGTTATTTATCTTCACGTCAAATTTGCACACAAAAAATCGCTTCTCTTATGCTAAAATGTAGGCGGGTTTCTTTTCTCCTTCTTTCCATTGTTTCTTTCATCTTTTTCCATTCTTTATTGGTACTACCTGTCAGGATTTTTAAGTGGCAGAAGCTAAATATGAGCTCAAGGACAAAAAGCGTATATCTGTCTCTCTTTTGGCGAAGATTCATGTTCTCTATAAAAAAGAACTTTGTGACTCCATCTGTCTGCCCTCTTTTTAGACTACACTTACTCCATACTTGTTCTTGAATGTGACTCTAACATTGAACGCTGCAAGAAGGTTGCACAGCATGATGACCTTTTTATCATAATGATGACTGCATGCGCTGCATGCGCAGCGTGGGGGGGGAGTGAGGAGGCATGCGAATAGCGTAGAAAGAGCGTATCACGGGCAGCACCCGTAGGTGATATCAGAGGTATCATGTATGCTTTGCGTGTCACAGGTTTTGGCTAAGCAGGTCTCTTGTCCTGAGGCATGTCCCGAGGCGGTGAGGGAGTTCCTGCGAGGTGCGAAGTGCGAAGTGCCGGGTATGACGATGCGAGAAGGCGGTTTCATGATGCAGTACGGAGTACATGGTATTGATACAGAATATCATACCCTATACAGCTCTGCAGCTCTGCAGCTCTGCTTGTTGACGTGCATTGTATGTAAGGAGTGTTCGGGCATGGACGCAGCAATGCTCGGGCGGGACAGAACATGTGCAGGGCAGTCCATTCAAAGCGGACAAGAACGACAGAACAGGTAAAGTGAGACATATCGGAGACTCCGAGGATATGCAGGTGGCACGGCCATAACAACATAGAGAGCACATGGGATTTTTGACAGCACCCAGGGTCCTATCATTCTGGCTGGTCTGGAGAATGTGGGGAGGGATGACCGGCCAGCAAGGTGAATTGACGGCGGGACACTCTGTTGCACGACGCAAAGCACTCGGATTGCGCGACGAGCCGTACGTTACCCATCGTGATGGATTGAAGATGGGCGTGCAGCTACTCCCGTATTCTAGAGGCTTATCTCACCGATCTCACCGTTGCTCTACACTGCTGGACTAGAAAGATGGGGGAAAAAAAGAAGGCCTTTCCGTGTCAACCGAAGTGTGATTTTTCGTGCAGAGCAGGAATCATATCAAAACGTCCAATACATGTAAACTAATACAGATATGTACCGTAGGTAAAATCCCTCTCAACCCCATCATGCGCATGATCTTGTGCGGTAGGCAATAGTTGATGCTCGCGACGTCCGGGTGCAGCCCATAGCGGTCCTGTATATGACGTAACTAGCCACAGTGTTGACGACAAGGGGTGACCCCACATTTTCAGGCGATACGTGACGTGCGAAAGACGGGAGATAACATGAGAATGAAGAAGAGTCTCATTCTTGATAGGGCGAGAGAGTGAGAAGGGAAGCAGGAGAAGGAAAGCGATGGTAGAAGAATATGAATAGGGGAGAAGAAACGAGCATGGAGAATGGGTGTACAACGGCGTCGCCGGGATTTGTCATTGTTCCTGGACCTGAACTGCGGTCACTGCACATGGATTTGGATTTGCCACCTTGAGAGACATGGTCAATCATGCATGCATGGTATGCCGTTGTTGCGAGAGAGAGAGAGAGAGAAGAGACAGGAATTCTTGTGAAAAATGAATCTAGCACATAGTATTCTGAACAGGGCCAAAGGCGAACTCTAAACCTCTCATCTTCATTTGCCTCTTTTTCTTTCCCCTTCCATCTCGGCTTACTCGCTCTCAGGCCGCTCCAAGGCCACACCGAGAGAAGGCTAATGCCGCATGACCAGAAAAACCCAAGGGTGAAAATGACCCCACCTATCCCCGGGCGATAAGAGCAGTGCCTCAGGTTTCAGGTACGCACCCTACAGTCGGTCGTTTGCGGTGAGAGCAAGTATTCTTATCCGAGACACCCATGGGCACGATACGGTGCGCTGTATGGATAGTCGCCGGCCGGCCCCTCCTCCGCGTTCTGGAGCCTTCTCGCTGCTGCTTGCGCCCCTGTGATTGGGTAAGCCGACGATGAATCACGGCACGACGTAGTTGATGCCCATAGATCATTAGCGCTAGTCTGCACAGCAGTGGCTGCTCTTAGCGGGCATTCACCATCCATCATCCCCCCCCCCCCCCCCCCCCCCTCCCTCCCAGCACAAGTCAGGCGTAATCGCCCACTGCGCCCCCCCATCCACTCCCGCCACCCCTCTTCCTTCCGGTCCTCGGTCTTCCCTACATAAACAACTCGTCACCCCGTCCTCAACCTAGATTATTTTCTCTTCCTGTCATCACACATTCCCATCTCCCATCGATCCCACTCGGATACGCAAATACCATCATAATACCCGTTACAACCTATACACAACTCACAAGTCCGCATTCTCGATTCATTCACCATGCAGATCTTTGTCAAGACACGTGAGTATTCCTCGACGACACTCCCTCCTTCCCCTCTGGACGTTATGCTGACGACTTTTGTTCAAAACAGTCACCGGAAAGACCATCACCCTCGAGGTTGAGTCCTCCGACACCATCGACAATGTGAAGTCCAAGATCCAGGACAAGGAGGGCATCCCTCCCGACCAGCAGCGTCTNTCCTCCGACACCATCGACAATGTGAAGTCCAAGATCCAGGACAAGGAGGGCATCCCTCCCGACCAGCAGCGTCTTATCTTTGCTGGTAAGCAGCTGGAGGACGGTCGCACCCTGTCCGACTACAACATCCAGAAGGAGAGCACCCTGCACTTGGTCCTCCGTCTCCGTGGCGGCCAGTAAATGCGATTGGTCCTGGCGATATCTTGTTTTCTTCTTTTCTTGACGACAACTCATGACGCCAGTTGGACTGGCAGAGCGGCGTTTTTGCGGTTTTAAGGGATTCGTTTCATTTCGGGACGTGTCCGCTCCATGATAGTATAGCTTTTATGTGCCTTGCTGCTGACGGCACGTAATCAGATATATTCACTGTTGTCTACTCTTCTGCCCCAACGTAATTTCGTAGATGATGCTTGAAGATGACGTACGATGCTCTGCTATCTGTGACTACTGCGTGTTCTGAGTTCGATGTGGGTTTGAGCACGACGCACGCAGTGCTTGTTATCTGTCTAGCCGCAATCAACCACCGAGAGCCTGATGACAGCTGACGGGTCCGTGCTCTGTGCACAAGGCTTGGTGGGGTGGCGGCTTACTAGGCCTACAGATAATACTCCGTAGGACGCTCGAAGCTTTGCGGCAATAGTATTAATCCTCGTGGGGAAGGCGAAATCCATGGTACTCTGACCTTTGCCACAACAGCGTCAGTCGACCGTAGCTTTCGGAATTACCGTGTACCTGATCGAGCGACATGTTGAAACAGGATATTTAGCTGCACAGCTGCACAGCTGCGAGTACACTCCTCCATCTTCTCCCATCTTCCTCTCCATCCATTTCCTCTCCCCGTCCGTGCCCTCTTTTCCTCCTCCACATTCTCTGCAACGAGGAGCAGGCGAGTGAGTCAGCGAGTCAGCGAGCCAGAGCAGTCTTTGCAGCTTGACGGTTTTCACGAAAGAGTGGCTTCTAGCTGCTATTCTGAGAGTCAATACTTTACAACAAAGGGAAAAGCCATCCTGTGAATAAGCGAAAGGAGCAAGAAGAGAGAAGGGGGGAAGAGAAAAAGAGAGACCTTGGGATGCCTTCTTACTTCTACCACCTCACCTTTGAGCTCTACTCCACACCAACACCGGGAGCAGAACGCTCAAATAGTGACGACGACGGCGACGACGACGACGACGACGACATCTGGGTACCACCGGCACAGGCCGACATCTTCGACGATAATCTGCCATCGCACGCGCATGCGCATGCGCGTACGCAACCGAACCAAGACAACGACCGACCGGGTAATCACACAACTGCTCGTACGAGCGCGGCGCGCGACAGACACGGCAAGGCAGTGAACCAGGCCTCGTCGACGGTAGCGGCTGCAACGCAGGATTGGCGGTTCGGGCGCGTGAGCGTCCAGACAGTGAGCCGCGGCAGTCCAAGCGGAATCATGGCAGGCGAACAGCAGGCAGAACCTGGGGCTGCGCCATCTCTCGGACCGACACTCGGATCTGGCAACAGGGCCGAGTATGTCCCTCTACATACGAAGAACACAGAACTAGGGTGGGGAATCGTTCATTTCTACCGAGAAGGGGAGGAGTCGCAGTGGGTAACGAGAGGCAACAATAACAGCAACGCGGCGGCGGCGGCGGCGGCGGCGGGTGGCGGCGGTGGTGGTTCAGCCGACAATGAAGGAGAGGGAGACTGCACTACGCTGTGCATACCGGCCGTGCCGGCTTGGATGACTCCCAGTGACTTTCTGGGCTTCATCGGTGAGCGGTGGCAGGACGATATCGGCCACTACCGTATGGTGATGACGTCCAAGATGAACAAGTATCTCGCCCTGCTCAGGTTTCGCAACAGCGACAGCGCAAAGAAGTGGAAGAAGGAATTTGATGGGAAAGTGTTCAATACGACGAACCTAGAGAACTGCCATGTCGTCTTTGTCAAGAGGATCACGTTTGACATGCCTGGACAGCGGGTTGGAGAGGCAGCAGCGGCGGCGTCGACGACGGCAGCTGGCGCGGCGGAGGCGGGAGCAGGGCCCTCGTCATCGTCGTCGACTGCGGCTGTGTCCAACACGCCCAAGCCGTTCCCGCCGCCAGCACCGAACCTGGTGGAGCTACCGACGTGTCCGGTATGTCTGGAGAGGATGGATGAGACCAGCGGACTCATGACGATACCTTGCTCCCACGTGTTCCACTGCACGTGCCTGAAGAACTGGAAGGGGTCCGGGTGCCCGGTGTGCCGGTTCACCAACGCGCCACGGGGTTACGAGGGCGACGGCGGCGAGAGGGGCGACCCGACGAACCCGTACAGCCAGCCGTTCGGGGCGTCGGTGTCAAACCTGTGCTCGGTGTGCGACAGCTCCGAAGACCTCTGGATCTGCCTGATATGCGGGCGCGTGGGGTGCGGGCGGTACAAGGGCGGTCACGCAAAGGACCACTGGAAGGAGACGGCGCACAGCTTCGCGCTGGAGCTGGAGACGCAATACGTGTGGGACTACGCCGAGGACGCGTGGGTGCACCGGCTGATCCGCAACAAGGGCGACGGCAAGGTGGTGGAGCTTCCCGTGCGGAGCGGTACGAGGGGCGGCCGCCGATCCAGAGGTCGCGGCCACGGCAACGGCTACGACGACGATGACGGCGACGACGACAACGACACGGACGGCGACGACGGCGACGTGGTGCCCCGAGCCAAGCTGGAGAGCATCGGGTTCGAGTACAGCCAGCTGATCACCAGCCAGCTCGAGTCCCAACGCACATACTACGAGGAGCAGCTGAAAAAGGCCATCGACATGGTCTCGGAGGCGTCCGGGACGGCTGAGTCGGCCAAGCGGTCTGCCGAGACGGCGGCGGCGCACGTGGCCGAACTAGAGGAGAAGCACCGCCGGCTAGCGGACGAGACAGTCCCCCAGCTAGAGCGCGACCTGGAGCGGGAGAGGAGGCGGGCGGCCAAGAGCCAGGACCTGGCGCGCAGCCTGGGCAATAGCGTCCAGGAGGAGAAGCGCATCAACGAGGGCCTCGTGGAGCGCATCCACCACCTCGAGGGTCGGATGAACGAGGCGCTCAGGCAGGTCGAGGGGCTGAAGGGGGAGAAGGCCGAGCTCGAAGAGATGAATCGCGATCTGACCATGTTCATCTCGGGTCAGGAGAAGCTCAGGGAGATGGAGAATGAGGGCAGGCTCGATGAGGGGGAGCTAGAGGGAGGCACTGCGAGCGTTCCCGAGAAGAAGGGGAGGAAAGGGAAGGGGAAGGGTAAGAAGTGACCCCCCCCCCCCTCTTTCTATCCGTCTCGGTCCATTCCCTCCCTCTCTCTCTCTCTCTCTCTGTTGCTCCCTCTCTCTTCATCTTTTGGCCCCCCCCCCGGCCTCTTCTGTTTCACGACCGATCTACGAATAGCGATGTCATGTTTTCCGCAGAGATTTGTCTTTAGGACTGGCGAGTTTCGAAGCGAGTGTATGTGAAATTATGTGAGATGAATAAATAAGTATATATACAGCAGTATAGATGTGAAGAATAATCCATCATGGAAGACGGAGGGGAAGAAGAAGAAGAGAGACGGCAGAATAAACATCAGCAACACTAGTCATATAGCTGCATCTAGTATTACGAGCTGAACGAAAGAAGAAGAGAACAGGGAGAGAGAGAGAGAGAGAGAGGGTCACATGTCTATAGGCTAATCATGTGGCGTCCGTCGTGTCTTGGATGTTGGTGCCTGTGAGATGCAAGGGGATATGGAGCACGACACGATTGAAATCAAGCAATACGACATGTTGATCGGTCAAACGTCTGGCGTATGGATCGGTACAGTACAGACAAATGACTGGAATGAGCAAATAGCAAGAGAGGAACTACTCCGTAAGCGCAGAAGCAAGCTTGGTGAGCACGCGAGAGGCAGGAGAGACAGAGAGAGGGTGTGCGCGTGCGGAGAAGTACTCGTACTTACGAATTGGCGTGGCGGAAACAATCTCGACGCCGTATTACTCCGTACATTCGATCGGAAGTGGCGGGACAAAGGAGCAGACGGCAAAGCCGGGAAAGTGGGCACGGTTCTCCCTATGACGGGAGGTGCATAGCGGGTTTTTTTTTCTCTCTCTTCTTTTATTCTCTTGGCAGGATGTCCCGGGCCATTGGAGGGGTAGGAGGCGGGATATGAGCATCTTGATACGAGACGGGAATGATGAGATGGCTGCATTGCATCTTCTATAGACTTTGAGGGAGGGGAAAGAATATGGGGTAGAGAAACGGTTGGGGAAGCGGGGTGGTTTATGTAGTAGTAGTAGTAGTAGTAGTAGTAGTAGTATTGTATGTAGAGTCGTAGATTTGAAACTACGACTGCCAACTATCAATATTCTGTACATTCAAGTTTGATAGATGAATCGTGGCAGATATAAAAGAGTCCTTTTCCCCCCCCCCCTTCTATCGCTCAGAGGGTGTAAGCACATGCCAAATTGGCAGGTCATTTTTTTCCAGGCCCATCACCTGCCCCTCCCCCCCCCC